CCCCGCCCTGCCCCGCCATGCCGTAGTTGCTCCGCCATCCCCACTCCCCCCACTCCCTTCTTCTGCCATCTATCGCTATCATCCCTCTCCCGGGTACCCGAGAACACGGCTCGGCGCCCTTACATACATACTCTCTCTCTCTCTTGTACATGTATACTCGCAGTCGTTCGACTATCTTGTTGCCGTTGATCCATCCTCCATCTCTCCGATCTCTCCATTGAAATTCAACCTCTCTCCGCGCCACGTCGCTCCTCGCCCATCGCTCAGCGCTCAGCACCGCACTGTTTTGCCTGGGACCCGAACGTGCTCGACCCTTTGCTTTGCGTCCCCCTCGTCGTACCAAACTTTAAAGGCTACCCCCATTTGAATTATTGATTACTGCGGCGTTTGGCTGATTCACCCCTTCATCCGTCCCCCCATCTAAGCCCTCCTCCAGAGCGGACCCATTACGTCTTGATTAGAGTGCATTATTATTTGCATTACACATTTCGTCCCCCTCCCCCCACTCTCTACTCCCTCCTCCTCCTACCCAACAACATCCTCCCCTCTCCTCCTCCTCTTTCATCTTCATCCTCCATCCCCCCTCAACCATCTCTCTCATCGCCAACTCTTTCCCCCCCCCCTCCCCCTCTCCCCATCACCTAGGCCCGTGCCCACAACGCACCGACAGCCTTGGGCGTCACCGTGCCCTCGACCACAAAGTCGAGGCATATACACCTAAAACCCAAAAAGTCGGCTGTGCCCGAGTCTCGCGCTATCAAAGCGACACGACGCACCGCAAAAGCTTGAACTGTTCTTTGCAACACTCGATCAAAGTCGTCAATCCCACTCCTCCAACTTCTCCCTCCCTCCCTCCGCTCCTCTACTCCACCTCTGACCACTCTCTCGACATCCCTCCCCCCTCCCCCCTCGCTCACCCCCGCCCCCTCCAACGAGCACACTCACCAACAAGGCTTCCGAGGATCGCCAGTTCACCGGCGCACTTATCCAGGATCAGCACCGACCGCGTCCGTGTACCGCAGTTGTCCTCCTTCTGCCACCTCGCTATCCGGCTCCCCTCGCTCGTCTGATCGCCAGCCTGGTTGCTCGGCTCTCCACCTCACCCTCACCATCCCTCCCGGTTCATCCTCTCGTACGCAGCCCCCCCCCCACACCGCCCGTGCCTTGGTCGCGTCCACCATATCTTTAACCGTCTTGGCGAGTTGCACGACTACCCCTAACTCGCTCCACGCCGACTCGCTTCTTTGGCGAGCATTGCCATCCTCCTCCTCCTCCTCCTCCTCCTCCT